TAGGGACAGAAGAGGGTGTCCTGTCATGGCCACAGGCAGCATGGAAGCCACAAACATCTCAAGAGGTTACTGTAGAGGAAGAAGAGTCTCCCTACAACAAAACATTAAAGACAAAGAGCTTTAAAAGCCCTCTAGGAGCACTGTGAGTGGAAGCTGCAAGATTATGGTTCCAGATGTCTCCACACATACAGGACACATGTATGACTGGATGAACCCCACTTCCAGCCTGTCTGGAGGGACACTGAAGGTGCATTTTAAAATCTGCCTAAAATATACCTAACTGTTTAGCAGGTATTTGTTTTTTCTTTAAAATGCAGAAGTACGAACGACATTAGACAAAAAAATTAGGGAACAGGCAGGACAGACTTCAACTCCAGTTGCTCTGGGAAGAAAAAAACCTCCTGATCTCTCCAAACCACCCAGAGGTCCCAGATGCCCACAGTCCATGCTCACTGAAGAGACTGAGAACAGTCAGTATGTTTCAGATGGTTTTGCCTTCAGTTTTGCTTGTCATATTATGTTTTGGAAAAACATTTTTACTTTAAAAAAAAAAGGAAGAAAAAAAATAGATACACTACTGCACAGTAATTCTTTGTTCTTGGTGATTCAGTCTACTATATGGCTGTGTTCCTTACATATTAGGCCAAAAAGTACTGCAAGTCCTACCCCCGAGGTTAACATTGACATTTACTTCAAAATGCAGGAATTTTTTAAACCCCTTAGTGTTTTATAAGGAATATATTGTACCAAGCCATCATCCTCTTGCCTTCTGAATGTTTTTGCCAAGTAGTAAGGAAGCTAAAAGCAAGTCTTTGCACAGCCTGCAGGAGGCAGGATCCCAGGACTGGTCTTTCAACCACACTCCTGCCCAAAACAGGGTATGCCTGAATCAGAGAATTTACTTTGTAGAGAACAGGGAAGAATAGCACTGGTTTTCTCCTTAAGGTTGTAGGAATACACACAGATAAAAGAGGTTTTAAAGGAGCTTGCTTTCTGCAGTGAGCAGATTTCAGAGATCCTCGCACAGACATACCTTGCTCATCTTCACCTGCCTGTCCAGGCTGGAACAGAAAATGTTGGTGTGAGATTCCCACTCCTACATCACCCATCTCCCATCCTTATCACCCTGCTGGCAGCACACATGTGGATCAAATCGGGTGCACACTGACCATGGGACTTCAGGACAGCTAGCACCCCACCCCCTGAGAGCAAGCTGAAGTCTGCTTTACACCCAAAACTTCCTGCTAAGACTGTTTCACAAAATCTTAATACCTTCAATGAAATCAAAGGTCAGAAAGAAAAGAGGGGAAATAGCCACAAAAAACACTTCAAAAATATCCCAGCCTCATAATAGTACTATCTGCAGGCTGAATTCAAAAATTTGACCTAGCAAGCTTAATAATATACTATTAAAACAATTTTTGCCCCAGTTTTCTTTCACCTTTGGACACAGATAAACAGCATGACTGTGCCAGAGCAAGATGCAAAAAGTCTTACCAGATGAGTGAAGCACCTAAATGTAAATAAATGGACTGGTCTTAAATGGAGCCTCATGCTGTACCTTCCTCAAGACATACTGAACATAATTTCAGTTTAATATTCTGGTTCTCATTATGGACCTTGGAGACTCTCTCAAGCACCATGAAAAAGCAGTATTAACCCAGCCCTCGGCACTGGGGACAGCAATCCAGCCAAATTATTCATGCTGGTCTTTTGCTTCAATTTTTGTAGTCTTAACTTAATGTTCTTAAACAAATCTGAAAGGAGGATGGCTGACAAATAGAACAGATTTTACTTTAGACATTACAGACGGCCATGTTATGCAGCCTTGAGTCATTAAGCTGAACTCCTAAGGGGAATTTCATTGGAGCGGGGAGTAAAAACTGACACAGAGCTTGTGGTTGTCATAGCCAAGCACTGAGAAGAAAGAGTGTTAAAAAGGGAAGGGGAAAAAAAGGAAGGAAAAAAAACAGGGGAAGGGAGAGAGAAAAAAAGAAAGTGAAGAGAAAAAAAAAAAAAAAGAAAAAAATAAAAGGGAAGGGGGGAACCCAAGCTGCCACACTCTCCTTTCCTCTCTTTGTAATCCAGCTATGAAGATTAACCTCAAATCCTGATTTCAGAGATAGGGGAAAGATAAGAAGTGATTTGCAGGTGTTAGCATTTTCCTACAGATCTTCAGGGCAGCCCAGCTGATTTGAAGATGAAAAACTGGCATGGGTACACTTGATGGGTAGACTAGACACAGCAACCAGGGCAGAGAACCAGTTTCTATCCCTACATGTTACACTTTTACAGAAAAATCAGGATGCCCATGAAATAGTCATCACTGTTCCACAAAAAGATGAACTGTGTTTTCACAAATGCAGACAGAAGTGGATATAGAGCCCTGTGCAAGAGCAGCCAGGTCCCAGGTGCTGTGGGCAGGCACAGCAGCAGCAACAGGGACACCAGAGATGCCTGACACATCCCAGGCCAACTGGCATCTGCAGCCACTTTATCTCCCCCAAATGCCATTACCCGCTCTAACTTTATTTACTAAAAAAAAAAAGACCATTTTCACTCCACAAAATTAATGTGGCCTGGGGTCGGTGCCAGGAAAAAGGGTGGAAAAAGCTGCCCCTTATTTATATATTTTAACAGAACAAGGCAAAACAGTTTGCTGCTAGAAATAAACACTAAACCTTGCAGAACCTCCCTCCCTCCCAAAAACCCACTGCTCTCCCCCCTCACTCCCTCCTCCGCCTCCTCTCCCTCCAACATTGTAAGTAGCACAAAAGATCACATTACAAATGCCAGCTGTGGCTCTTTCGGGAGAAGGTGGCCTCCATCTCGGAGGTAGTATATGTTCCTCATGGCCTAAGTGGTTGCTATGGTAAATATGCTTTTTATTGAATAGCAGAGTGAAACAGCTTTTAAAGAGATCCATAAGAACCCCATAAATGGTCAAAACACAAAGCAGATCAACCTCAGCCTCCCTGGAAGCAGGTTTCGCTTCGTTTTCCAAAATGATTGTGATTTTTGAACCCTTTTTGTATGTTTTGTTGACCACTCATCTCCACCTCGCCCACACCTGGGTGGAAGGGCTGGAGAGAGTCAGGGGAGCTGAGACCCCAGTCAAAGCCCTGAGCACCACAGGCTGCTTTTGGTTTTAAAGGCAAGCTCTCCTGCAGGGCAGGAGGCTTAGGGACACTGGATGCTCAGCACTGGGAAGCTCAGGTGATCCCAACCAAATTCATCCTGCCCTCCCCAGCTGCAGCTACCCAGGAGAAGCCTATGGCTCCCTCTCCATCGCTTCCTAGGAGCCTGTTCCACCATGCCAGAGCCACGGGAACATTCCCACCCCATGTCAGTCCTCTGACACAGCAGTAAAAAGAAAAGAAGTAAAATAGGAAAGTTTCTCTAGCTCATTTCTTATTAGGAGTAAGATGGTGGCAGGTTTTGATGACTGTAGATTTCTGATTAAGCAGCCAGACATCTTTTCTCTGATCTCTTCCTCCAGTGACAGCCCAGGTGGACAGGAAGGAAAAGCAAATTCTGAAAAGTGAAGCAGCCAGCACTAGATATCAACTGGGCAGATACCAGTCTTGTTCCAATTGCTCTCTGATGATTTGAAGGATGGTTTAGAAGCTATGGATTCTAAAATACAGGAAATATTTTTTTCCTTTTGAATAAAGAACTATGACACTCATCACAATGGGCTGACAATTCTCAATTTAAAGAAACAACAATGGAAAAAGAAGCACCTCAAAATGTTTAGTGTGATTTGAAATTTCTAGAAAAACCAATGTGTGCCTTGGATGATCTACCAGCTGTGTCAGCTCTAGACTACAGAGCAGAAAGTAAACAATGAGCAGTTTCTTTTCCTGGCATTTACCTTACCATCCAATGGTCATAAAAAAGTTTTTTTAAAAATCACATTAAACTTTATGATTTTTTTTCAGAAGAAATATTCTAACCCACCACATGCCATTCTCTTCATAAAAACGTTTTTTTAAAAATCACATTAAACTTGAGTATGATTTTTTTTCAGAAGAAATATTCTAACCCACCACATGCCATTCTCTCCAGAGTAGATGTCCCAGTTGAACAGTCAGAGCTAAGAAGCTATTTAACAATAGATGGCACTGACACTGGTTGTGGGTGAGGATGGACCACTGCATATCTCTGCTCTTGCAAATCACCACATAAACAAACCATTTCCTATTAGATCTCTATGGATGTTATTTTAGAAAGTAAAATAAACCCCCAAACCACTCTCATGTAAATTTGTACTGAACATTGCAAACTCAACATTGTTTTCACAACAGAAGCACAAGAAAAATTAATGGAGAATTTAAAATTTAAGTTAGAAGTTAATAAATAACAGTATTTTTTAAAATACTATTCATTATAAAGAGAGTTTTCTATTTTGCATGTAGTAGTAAACATTTGATACCAATGTTTATACTAAATGAGTAGCCATCACAACACAAAGGAACATGTGCTTTGTTGAACTAGGCTCTTTTGAGCCTTCACCCAGGTAAAAATCCTGACCAACTCTCATGCTCTCATCCAAGATTTTACAATAAGAAAAGATTTCTTTAAGTAAAGGACATAGAATAGGCTTGGTTTTGATTTTTCTAAGGCAATCTTAAGTCTAAGCTTTCCAGACAGTCTCTTCACTCTCTTTACTTCAACACAGATAGGTCAGATGTGTAAACCAGCCTGACTGGACTCCACTGCCACTACATAATCCTGCAGTGTGTAAATTTAGAGTATTTTTTACTCCCTGGTCTCCTGTAAGGCACATGGATGATAATTTCATAATTATCACTGATAACACAGCCCAGTGATAACAAAAGTATTCCCTCCTTTTACCACAGGCTTGTTAGGGATTTGTTTGTTTTGAGGTATTTCTCCTTTGGTCTGTGTAAAAGAAAACTGATGACAACCATTGCCATTAATGTCAAATGCTTTTTTTTTTTTAAACAAAGGAAGAATATCTTTCTGCGTTTACTTACAACAATGTGTGCTGGAGATGGAGACCTAGCATCCTTGAGGGCTTGTCTACTCTGAAGGCTCCCTGCCTGAACATCAAGCAGTGGCCATTTCATCTGCAGATACTGGATGGAGGAAACAAAAATGGGAAAAGAAAAATGAGTTCAGAAAAGAAAGGCAAAAGAAAAAAAAATAACAAATCTTAGGTAACATGGATAAAAAAGTATAAATCAAAACTTATGCAAGGAACTGAAACAAAAAATTAAGACAACCTTACATGTTTGTGGATACAAAATCTGTGCAGAACTAACAATCTCATACCGCTGTGTTACAGTTCAGGAATAAGAAAAAAAAAAAAACAGATTGCAAAGACAGTATTATAATTATAATAGTATATTAATTTTACTAATTGTAGCAAATCTGGAAGTAGCATAAAACCCACAAAGAAACAAAATAGCACAACCATGGAGAGGATGGGACAAGGGAAAAGGTGGATATCAGTGTCAGGAGAGGGAAAACATATAATGAATTAAGAATATGATCTCATTACTGAATGGGTCATCTGTCAGCCTTCTTTCAACAAATGTACCAGGTCAACTGCTCCAGCTTCCCGGTGCTGTACAAGCCCTAAAGACAGGGCACTACCCCAAAAAGACTGCTGGGTCTTAGCAGCTATTTTCTCTACTTTTCACCATTTCTGGAAGACACCATGGATTTTCTTCTGGCTTATCTTCTGTCAGACAACCCTGGCTGGGGGACAGCCACGGCTTTTCTGTGGCACTGCCACCACAGACAGCAGACAGGCTGGACACACACAGGTGCCCTGTCTGCAGCATATGGGGAACTGACTCAAAAGCAAGAAAAGCTTCAGCTCCCTGCACCAGAAGTGCTCAGTCCTGAACAAAAGCAGGCCCACAGAGAAATTAGTTATCCCAAACAAACTTCTGTGCTGTATATCTAAATATAATTTCAGCCCAGGCTTTTCTCTCTGCATGCTGCTGTGCTGTCCCAGTTAACACAGGTTAATATGGGACTTCTAAAAGCCCTGTATCATGCTGGAAGAAATGTGTATGGCCACATACGTTCATCCCCTCCCAGAACTAAGAAAAGCAGCTGCACACATAGATCAGGCCACTGCAGAAGCTCCTATTTTAGCACTAGACACTGCTTGACCTGACAGATCTATTCCTAGAAAATACCTACCAGAGAAATAGTTATGTTTACCCATTCCTTCCTTTTTTCTTTTTTTTTTTTTTTTAAGTAAGAGTAGTCTTGAAGAACCACCATGCACAGACAGCCCCCGGCACTCCAGGCGAACTGCGGAAGCTGTATCTGAATCTCCATGGAGGAAGGAAGGAGATCTGGTTCCATGCTTTCAGCACATCACTATCTATCACATTTGCTCACGTATGCAAAACATTTGCTCACATGCAAGGCCTGTTTGCTGCAAGACTCCGGGCACTGAGGTGCCCAAAAGGCAGAAGCCAGCAGGAGAATGTGTTACCAATTCCCATCACTTGGAGGGCCTGAGTTTTCCAAGCTACTGGAATGCAAATAAACAAACCCATACTCTGGATTTGTGCCCCATATGAGTTCCACAAGTTCCAAGAAGTCTTGTTTTTATTCATGTTCACATTTGGGATTTGTGCAATGTGGACCAGAATGTTTCAGCACTTCTTAAAAACAAGAAATAAAACCCAAACAAACCAGAACTAGACTACCGATAAGCAATATTTCTAAGTCTTACAACTCAATTGAAAGTCTCCAGATATTTGATCACTTGCATCAAATCCCTGCTCTTCAATATATGTGACCACAACATAAATTTTAAAGTTGAGATGATGTTAAAGCAACTTTCTAACCCTTTGTGGTTTCAAAAAAGTGAATAAAAATGCAACCCGAGTGTGTAGAATTTGGACCCAAAGCTTAAGCCAACCGAGAGCCAACTTTTAAACTTGAAGGGAAATCTGATACAGGACAGATTTTCAGATGCACTGTTAAACAAGTACACTGCTACATTTTCAAAAGTCCACCAGTTTTCTTAGACAGCAATGAAAACACCACCACATAAAGGGGCGCATGAATTTCCAGAACGGGTCCTGATGGGTCACAGCTACTATTGGCTTGCTCAGGTTTTCCAGACAATCAGTGAAGTGTTTTTCCCTTCTTCCAAGGAAAACGTCCTCACAGGATGTGTGCATGACTCTGCTTCAAAGTTCACAGTGGTTTTTGGAGAGCAAGAAGCTACTGCTGCCACAGCTGAAGCCTCTACAAGAACACGACAGCTCAAACTGTGGATTTTCAGGGAACAGACACCAAGCCATTACCCACAAAAATAAACTCATCATCTTCATTTTTCCATGACCACTCCACAGTCACAAGCAGCCCTGGAATATCTGTACAACCATGACAGCCTGTGAGGAGCTCAGGTCAGCAGCTGTCCTAAAACACAGGCTGAGAAACACGTGGGCTTCTCTGAGTCTGCCCCAAGGGCAGACAGAGGCATTGACAAGCAGCAGGGGTGAGCTCACAGCAGACCCCATCCAGTCAGTAATTATTGCAGGGATTACAAAGCCTTCAGGACTGTCAGTTGTGCTGTTTTTTACTAGCAATAAATTCCATTAGAAGAAACAGAGCAAGAAGGCATGGCTGCTCCCACTCCACCTCTATCCCACAACAGCCCCTGCTCTCAGCCCATACTTTCAGCTCCTACACCAGGCTGACCTTAGGGCAAGATGAACGTTTCAGAAGATCTTACTGTTACACTTTTTTTTTTCTCCTTTTAAAACCCTTAGTCTGGACTCTCAGTAAAGCCCTTCTCTTACCCACCCCTGGCAAAGAGGATCCAAGAAGTCTCACAGTGCAAAGGCTAAAGCACAAACAGCTTCTTTTGGACATGCACATGAAGCCCAGCAGGAAGAGTCCAAACCTGGAGGGCTCAGTTTTGCACACAAGCACAGGCATGGACAGCTTCCATTTCTACCAGTGGATAACACACCAGTGGGAGACAAAATCAAATAACCAGACCCAAGGGAAAGCAGCAAAGCACAAGGGTCAATAAAGCAACTTCCATGAGTTCTACCAAGTGGCCAGGATCCAGAGCAGCCTCCCAGCCCTGCTAAGGGTAAGATGTTCTGTCTGTCAGATAAGCAGAGGGGGCCAGAGCCCACAGCCAATGCCCACGTCAAGCTAGTGAACCCACACCTTCAACAGCAGGATGTTTGCAAAGGCAAAAAAATGTTTGCTGGCTTCAAAATGCCAGCCCTGTTGATAAAGTATGAAATATTAGCATTGTTTAAGGTGACGAGCCTGACTCAAGGCCTCCTCATCCAAGAATTGTCATGCCTGTAACACAATATTGATGTGGTGGCTTATAATTCTTACTTTACATAAAAGCCTCATTGTGTGCCAAATTCAATCTCCACAGGCTACCTGAGCCACAGATTTTTACAAGTCTACATTTCAGCGCTGCGAGTCTACAATACACATAATTTTCAATTATGTTAGGGCAGAACAGGATCACTGCCTATATAACATTACTGGTTGGAGGAAATGAGACTCAGCCCTACTGCCGAGAGAGCTAACTGGATCCAGATGGTGGCCGAGCGCCGCAGCCGGCCCGGGGAGCGACGTCGCAGCAGCCACCCCCTCCACAACTCTCTCTTTCACGGTGCAGGGACATGCCAAGCCCTTGCTGGGCTGGGAGCTGTCACAGGAGGATGCCTGGGCAGGGGGGAATTGCATGGAGAGGAGGGAGAGTTGTGATTGCTCTCGCAGGTTTACTACTGCTGCACTACACTGTGATATTCTTATTGAAAAGGAGAAAAATTAAGTCCTGCTGCAGCAGAGAGGTAAATCCTTTCCTTCCTCAAGCAACTAAATAGCAGGAAATCCTCTTCTCTTGGCCCTAAATGCAGATTTGAGCCAGACAGTTCCTCTGATTTGCAAGGAGTCCACAAAAATCCAAAGCCGACTTTCCCAGCCTTCTGACACTGCTTTTACATTCCTGCACCGGGCAGCTGCGAGGGGGCAGAAGGGTAAGAGGGAGGGAAATTTCCCACCAGCCTGCTCCTGCAAATGCTGGACACCCGCTCGCTCCTCTGCTGCTTCTTGTGTCTCGCTGTGGAAATCAGGACTTGCCTGTACAAACACTGAACTTTTCAACAAATTAACTCTAACAAATCTGTGCAAATTATTTCAGAACAAAACTGTTGAAATGGGCTCTGCTGGCCTGCTTTTAACATTTTTTTAAAATAATGTCATCGTGGTGCAAGTACTTTATTCCCTGTTTAACAACATGATCTGATGGGGATCATTAGCATGTGTGTGTTTTAAAAAAAAAAAAAAAAAAAGTTTTATGGCAAGTCTCAGAGAGCTTAAGCAAAATAATTGTTAAGCTCCAGGCCTCCATACAAGAATTAAAACAAGTTTGGGGCGAGCGTACTTGAGAGAAACCAAAGCTTTTAAAAAGGCTGTTAAATTGTCAGCACAAGGGAAAAGGCAAATGATTTGAATGGCCCAGATTTTTTCTGTAGAAAGGAACAAAAAAAAAAAAAAAAAAAAAAAAAAAAAAAAAAAAAAAAAAAAAAAAAAAAAACAAACCACCAAGAACCTTCCTACACATCCACACATCCCATCTACAACCAGAGGGTCCTGCAAAGCACAGACCCGCCGGGAGCAGCTCTGCATAGCCACCCCCCAAAGCAGCCACCTTGTGAGCTCTGGCTGGGCAAACAAACATCTTCCCCAAGTTTTCACAGCAGAGTTGGTCAAAAGCAGCTCAACTTCACATCCAGCACTCGAGGAGTTTGCTGGAAGCTCTAACTCAGGCCAGCAGCTGCCCCACAGGCCAGGGCAGGGCTCACAGCAGTGTGGCTGTGGAGGAAAGGATGGCACTGAGCTCACAGGTGTTTCCTGCAGCAGTGTCCAACCTGGACCTGTCCCCTTGTCACACTATTGTTTTCAATACTAGATTGCCCTACAAGTGATGTTCTTCAACATATAAAAACATAAACACAGTAAAGGGGGGAAAAGGCCATATTTTTAAACAGAAGGAAAGCTGCACAATGCTTTCCAGCTCAGGTTTCCTGCAGCTGGTGCTTATTAGCTCCCAGGAACTGAAACA